CACCCCCAACAAGTCGTGGCAGATGGCTGCCCCTCCATGAGCATGTTTCTGCTTGAGGTTTCTTGCTTTTAAAGGGGAGTTTTTCCTTCCCGCTGTCACCAACTGCTTGCTCATCGTTGTCTGATTGTTTGAGTTTTCTCTGTATTATTATTGTAGGGTCTATACCTTACAATATCAAGCACCTTCAGGCAACTGTTGTTTTAATTTGGTGCAATGCAAATAAATAAAATCAAACTGAATTGAAGAACAGTAAAAACAAAAGGGGATCTATGTGTATAAAGCCATGAAACTTCATTCACACTGCATGCAGTGTTGTTTTGAGGTAGGCAGTGTGGAAAGAATCTGCTGGAAGGCTATATCTGAGTGTAAAGCAGCGTGTGTGTTTTAAAAATATTAGCTGAGTGTAAAGCAGAGAATGTGGATTCAGTTTCTGACACTTGGCAAATACATTGGCTGCAGGTGTTTTGGTTTCAGTAATTATGCTTTGAAAAATCATATGCATTCTTTAAGTATGCAGAAAGGGGAAAAAAGGTAAACCCTGCTATAATTTGATATGTCTGTTATTGCATTTACAAATGTACATGTACAGTGACGTTGCTGTCTCACCACCTTTATACTGTTGCTCTGTCTGCAGGGATGTGCATGTAGGTATACTGAAGAGGTTTCAGTATGTTAGCTTTAGTGGCCTCCCATAAATAATAATTATACATTATTATAAGCGGCATATAGTAACAGCATTAAATATAGCAAATATTATATACCTATATCCTGAATAGACATTATCTTCACTAACAGCATCATTATTCTTACAGGACCACCTTCTCCTTCCTCTTTTCCCATCCACCTCCTCATCCTTTTCATCCTGTTGTGTTAAATGTGAGCTGTAGCTTTGTCTACTAACACCTACGCCAACATGTCACTAACCATTATTTGTACATCATTTTGTGTTCAAAGTCAGTTACACTGAGCAGATACAGGGAGTGCAGAATTATTAGGCAAGTTGTATTTTTGAGGAATATTGTTATTATTGAACAACAACCATGTTCTCAATGAACCCAAAAAATTCATTAATATCAAAGCTGAATGTTTTTGGAAGTAGTTTTTAGTTTGTTTTTAGTTTTAGCTATTTTAGGGGGATATCTGTGTGTGCAGGTGACTATTACT